CAGCTTTGTAACATGTTACGGAGGCACCAACACTACTTCGTAAATGTTCAAATGGTTGCTAAATTCGAACTCAGCTCCAAAAACTAGCCTAGAAACATGTAAAACTCGAAAAAGTGGACCGAGGTCACCAAAGGTCAATGGCCTGACCTGAACTTCCGATGACCTTGACACCCACCCTAATGCATGGGAGCAACATCATATCCCATGTTTGAACGCATAAAACCACGAAAAGACTGCAAACGCGCGGCCAATGCGAGCCGACATACGCCGAATCGCGATTCCGGCCCAACATGGTCTCGGAAAGTAGGTCACAGGTCAAAGGTCATTTGGGTCAAGGTCATGAAATTTTCAGGGTAGGTGTAAAATTGATCAATGCGAGGGACTGAAAGTTTCGTCGCGATCGGCCGCTTTATACGCGAGTTATTCGCGAAAAACCTTAGTGGATAGTTGCATACCCCCTCCCCCCCCCCCCCTGTGGCGGCGTCCAGCGAGGGTTAAGCAGTCGAAAAAGCACTTTTGGACAATTGACATGTGAGTGAGACGTGGAAAGGCAGTAAAAACAGCTGCAATGCGTTCAGTTTTACAATAGGCAATCGATTGGGATGCCACATGAGTTTTACCGGTCAGGTCATGAGCTCGACCTTAAAAAATGTTCATCTTTGGAGGTCAAATTACACACCATTCTACACTATTGGACGAGAGAAACATGATGCTAGCCGAGCTGATTGTTTTTAATGCCTATGTACCCACAACAATGACAACAATGCACCGCTGGACTACGCTTCGCTTGCATTCCAGGACCGTAGTGACGTCACAGGAAGGGACGCGGGCGGACCGCTGATGACCCGCCCGCTGTCAAAGGGCGGGCTGGGTTTGACGGGCGCACAATAGCGGCCGCGCGCGTGTTCCTGAAAGCGATAGCGAAGGCACGGGCGCCAGAAGGGTTGGACGCTTTGACCCTCTCCCAGACCTCCCGCTGTTACTGCCAAGGTTACTGCTACTGAGAAGGAAAATAAGTGACGGTGGTATTCACACAGGCTTTTCACTAATTTCTGACGTTTCGCACGTGTCGTCAACAATTCTCGTCCCCTAGAGATACTTGCACGATGCTTGCACGAACACTAAGGTAACCGGCCTGTTAGCTTGAAACGCCGCCAAAAACATAGGTTGCTCCATGGTATAATCTCTTCCATGCATGTGACTGGTCTGGAGCCTTTTCGCATTAGATCAATGCGCGTTTTTATCGATATAGGATCTCCATCGATCTTAGAATTTGGCGAATTTGCGATCTGAATGATGGGGTGGAGCAAGATTAGAATGGGTCTGAGCCAGGACAGTATATAGAATCGGAGTTGAACCCAGAGTCACCAAAATCTTACTAACTCCGACTCCGGAGCAGAATCGACATCGCTAACTGAATGGCTCAAAGTTATACCCGAAGCGGAAGCCAGTCTGCCGAAAAATAGCCGTTTTCACGACGGGCTTTCTGGCGAGTGGACTTATATGGCAGTGTTCGCCATGGGCCGGGCCAGCCAATGGGTCATGGGCTGGGCTGGGCCCTCAAATATAAATAATCGATGGGCTGTGGTGAGTGTGGATGGGCTGGGACAAGGACTGTAAAGTGGACTCAGAGGTTCGCGACTGAGCTAAAAACAAAAACTAGCTTATTACTGTGCAAGACTAAAAAAATGAATGAAAGCATATATGTGCAATGTGCATTGTGCATGCTGCTCCCAAAAGATTGTTTCTTTGCGCCTATGGGTGACATATATATGTAATACCTGTTTGGTGTCCATGATCCATTCATTGTTGACGGGCTGGTCCGGGCTGGACGGACTATGTAGACCGCCTAGTCAAATTATAGGTTGGTGGTAGTTTCGTATAGGCTTGTAAGGTCTGTAGTGTGTACCTGTCTAATATCTATGCTCACGCAGTGTGGCGCATAGAAGCGCTAAAAGGAAGACCAACTTCGTTGATTGTTCTGAGTTACGCCGGCCCCCAGCCTGTTTTTATAGTGGTCTGAACTGTCAAAATGATGCCCCATAGGTCACCCCTGTGTCCCATAGGTCACCCCTGTGTCGCCCGCTCTTAGGTTCGTGAGCGGATGAAAATATGTTGGCATTTGAAAATATGTTTGACTTGTCCGAGCTTTTCGAAACTGAGTGGTGGGTAGATATACGATTTCTGCATAGCCCCTTTTTTGTACGGACAAAAAATAGTTTGTGGTCTTGATCAAGCAGTAAGCTTCCGATGGGGATAGCGAAGACAGTAGGACGTAGGTATAGGTACCTATGCCGGGGTAACCGTCGAATGTCCATTCCCTCGGCTCCAATTCAGTGGGCCGATGATTCCACCTCAGATCTTTAACCCATGAAACAGTCGTTCCCCAGCGAAATTATATTGCATTGTTTCTTCATAAGCCAAATATACAGGTCACGAGAGCTTTACTCGTTGCTTTGGTAGGTACATTGTGCATTTATTACGAACTGGAGGAGAAACGAAGATGTCATGTCTGACAAAGCCTGGTTCGGATAGGGTTGTGATATAAAGCTGTGCGTGATTCCCCCTGCTCCGGACGATGGGTCTCGGGCTCGTCTTCTCCCTGCGCCGTCCTTCCCCCGGTATTCGAAGCCGTGTGACGTTCAGAAGCATCTGGAGTACCAGTGTTTGGTTTGGGTGACCAGTCCGCAGCGGTGCTTGTATTTGGGACACCTGATCTTCCAGTGTGTGTAGGGCTTACAGACGGGCAGGCACATGTATCCCCATTTGGTGGGACAGCACTTCCAGCCCGGCCGGGAGCAGTAGCACTTGCTGGCGCTGGCCGATGTCTTGTAGGTCCGTAGGTAAATTATGTGGTGACGGGGGCACTGCCACGCGCTCGCCGATTCTGCAATTGAGTATTTGCACTAAATTAGTGCTCATATTCACCGAAGTAAACGCACACAGAAACAGAGCTGCACACATTGCTGAGAACATGATTTCTGTTGTTATCACCAGAACTATAATTATACATCACACAAATGAAATTTTACCGACAAAACGACGCTACATACATGAATTATTTGTTTACGCAGTCATCTTTTACAGCGTACCTACAACAACTAACTGCCCATGAAATAACCACACTATATTATAGGTATATACTCACGCAGCGTGGCACATAGAAGTGCCAGCACCGGTAGAAGGAAGACCAACTTCATGGTTGTTTGTTCTGAGCCTCGTCGGCCCCCAGCCTGTTTTTATAGCGGCCTGAACTGTCAAAATGGTGCCCCATAGGTCACCCCTGTGTCGTCCGCTCCTAGAATCGTAAACGCTGAAAAATATGTTGACATTTTAAAATGTGTTTGGCTTGTCCGATTTAAATTTTTGGTAAAACAGGATGGAGAGTTTCCTGTTTTACTGCGCGCTGTCCTTTCAGAAGTGAATCGTCGCTTGGACGGACATTTGCACTTTCAAAATAAGATTCGCTGTGCCCTCGACCAGAGACCAGAAGTTACGGGCCCTTCAGCAAAAAGTGGCTGGTTAGCCGATGTGTTTTTAGCCCACGCCGTCCTGGTGGTCTAAGTTTTTCCGTGGTGTACGAGGGGGGGGATGGCGTCTTCACGCCCCCCGTCTAACTCGGCTCCTGAGGCATTCCATAGAGTAGAATGCCTGAATATTAGGCATTCCACAGACTGCCTACTCAGTCCATAGAATGCCTGGACGACCAGGCATTCTACAGAACGCTTAGGCATTCAAAATGCCTGGTCGTTTAGAGGGATAGCTGGTCGTCCAGGCATTTAAGAGAATGTCTAGGGATTCTATAGAATGTCGAAATTCTACACATTGGCTTGGGGCTATGACATGGAAAGTCTGTGGATGAACTATGCGGCGGTATACATACCCCAAGTCGCGCTGTGCCCAAGTGGCACCGACTCCGGGAACCGCCTGTGGTGTATCGCCGCCTGACGCAGCGGTTTGGCCACGAGAAGAAACAGTCGCGTGCTGACGTCACCGGGGCTCCGGGACCAGTCAAAACAACTGAGAGAGATACTCGGCACGTGCCGGACGGTACGGCGGCAGCTCATACGGCCTCCAGTGGCGCTAGAGTGGAAAATCCACACCGCCAAAGTATACAAGGCAAAACTCGCCGAAACGGATGCTCAGACAACGTACTTACGTCTCACATAGGTGTTTGCAAAATGTGCAAAGGAGTGTGCTCACTGCACTCTCCTAGTAGACCCAAAATGTACGTGCTATGATCCGTAAAAGGCAACTGTGCTTTGATGTGAAATGTGAAGGTCTATATGACATGGGATTTTTAATAGTTTGTGGCTATGGCTTTCTACGGACGGATGTTGTTTCAGCTGCTATTGAGCAAGAGCCGTCCACCCTGTGCAGTGTGCAGTGTGCGCACTGCGCAATTACCCTCAGCCTTTCCTCCCCTCCCCAGAGAGGCTGCAGCGGCAGCGGAAAGGTCGCCGAGCCCACGCCCACCTGGCTGTTACGAAACCCTTGGCAGTCCTCTGGGGTCGCTGCCATCACTGTCACGAGCCATCCATGGGTTTGTCACGGACGTTGACACCCCTGGCCGGAGGAGGGTGGGGGCTCTGAATCATTATCATGACCTATGACTCGGCGGCCAGCGCCGACCACCAAGGGAGGGGGGGGGGAGTGAGGGGACTGGGCTGACCGTGCTTCTATGTAAACAGAAAAAAACGGACGACGCAGATACGTGACATTCGTACTCTACATGTATGTACGGTCTCAGGCGTCCTACCTCATCGGGCGGCGTGCCCTTCCGTCTCGCTGGGAGTCCCAGTGGCTGTTCATATCCTACTTAAGAATTAAGGAATCCCTCTGCAGGCTGCTTCCATCCTCGCCAGTTTTCTTCCATTAGGCAGTCGGTGTGATGTTGGTGATGCTGCTCTGCGAGTGTTAAGAGTCCATGCCCCACACGACTACGTTCGCCAATCGCTACCATTGGTGGACCAGCCATTTGCTCAGAGGCTGATGTGATTCCGACGGTGATGAATGTATGCCATTGACCTTTATAGAGGTCACCGGAGGCTGACGTTCACAGTTGAACCATTCGACAGATCGGAGTGAGCGACGTTTCAGGAAATCTACCCGACAGTGCGAAAACATCTCGTGCCGTCATCCAATATTCCATGAATTTACTCCATGACGTCATTAACTTACCGCCGGTGGCTCCGCAATCGGCCAATCTGGCACAAGATCCGGCAGTGATAGAATAGTTTGATGACAGCTCGGATGACTGTGTCTTTGAATGGGTACCGCAAAATGCAATGCATTTTGATCCGCAAGTGCAACTGAAACTTCTTCGGTGCCCCAGCCGTTTCCGCTGAAGCTTCTGAAGATGGCGATGCTGCTGCCACTGCAGCAGTGTAGCTAGTGGCCAATGATATTTGGCAGCTAATGAGCTGCGTACGCGCCAGCCCGTGCCGTCCCGTCCCTGGCTCCTGCCACCGTCCGTCTCGCCCGCTGTGTTTATATTTCCGCGGCTATATAGAGGGCCGTGGCCGCCGGGGCACACACCAGTCGGTTCGCCGACCTCCAGCGGCGCTCGGTGGCAGCAGTGTGTGTGACTGGACTGCACTGGACTGGACTGACCCTCCCCGGCCCCTCGGAGAGCGATGCGCGCGCTGGTGGCCTGTCTGGCGGTGGCGGCGGCGCTGACGGCGCCGGTCGCCGCGGACAGGTTCCGCACGGTGCTGGTCGGCGGCCAGCCCGACTGGGCCGCGGCCGGCGGCGACCAGGGCTGTGACATCTGCGGCAGCGGCGGGGGTCACTCGGGCGGCGGCGGCGGCTACCGCACCTCCTCCCACAGCAGTCGCTACACGAGTTCCGGCCAGCTGGCGCCGCGCTACCGGCCCGGCCTGCTCGGCCGCAGCGGCGGCGGCCAGCGGCGCACCTACCACTTCTCCAGCGAGGAGTCCGAGTACACGTTCAGCAACGGCACGCACAGCACCACCATCACCAGCAAGCGCTCCAGCGAGGGCGTGCCCCAGTTCCACCTGCGCATGACGCGGCTGGCCGACGGCGCCGTCATCGAGAGCGCCGTGCTCTCGGAGGCCGAGTACCGCCAGCGGCGCGCCAGCCTCGGCCTCACCGGCTCCGACGGCAGCTTCGGGTTCGAGTCGCTGGGCGGCGGAGAGCTGCACGGCCTGAGCTCGCGCCGTCTCTCGGGCGAGGACCTACTGACGGAGATGGAACGGCGGCTGGCGCACCGGCGCGGCGGCCACGGCCGGCACTCGACCACCAGCTTCTCCAGCGAGGAGTCGCACTACTCGTTCAGCAACGGCACGCACACCACCAGCATCACGGGCCGCCGGAACAGCGAGGGCGTGCGCGAGTACGGCCTGGAGCTGATCCGGGACGCGGACGGCACCGTGCTCGACCGCGCCACCATCTCGGAGGCCGAGTACCACCGGCGCCGACAGAGCATGGTCGGCGGGCGCGGCTTCGACGACGTGTTCGACATCCACGGCGTGCGCGGCTCCGGCGCCAGATTCGACTCGCGCTTCGACTCGCGGTCCGACTCGCGGTCTGACTCGCGCTTCGACTCGCGGTCCGACTCGCGGTCGCGGTCCCACTCGGAGTTCGGCTCGGACTCTGCTGAGTCGGAGTACGGCTCGCGGTCGGGCGGCCGGCGGCCGACACACGGCGGGTCCTCCGGGTCCCGCTCCACATCATATTTCCGCGAGGAGCGCACCGAGACGCGCCGCGAGGAGGGCGCCGAGAGCTGCGCCTGCGTGCCCCGCTCGCGATGTCTGTACTCGGACCGGGTGGTCTCGGCGGCCGCGCTGAGCCGCTGCCGGGCCGACGAGGTGTGCTGCCGCGAGCAGCGGCCACTGCTGCCACGGGTGACCACCGACTACCCGCGGCCGGCGCCCACCGAGCCGAGCCGAGTGCGCCGGCCGCAGGCCGAGCCCCAGGTGCGCGAGGAGCCCGCCTGCAACTGCGTGCCGCGCGACACCTGCTCCTACCGCGAGCGCGACTTTTCGCTGGCCGGCCTGCAGAAGTGCCGCCGCCCGATGGTCTGCTGTAAGCGGCAGCTGGTGTCCCAGCCGTACCAGCCGGCCACGGAGCCGGCTCCGCTGCTGCCGACGCCGGCCCCCGTCTCCCGGCACACCACCCCCGACCCGGCCTTCGTGCAGCGCGAGCGCGACCTGTTCCGGGACATTGTGCAGCACGTGGACACGGACGAGCGGGCGCCCGTGCAGCGGCCGGTCGACCTCCGCGGCCTGCAGAGCTCGCTCTCGCGGTACGATGACGCCAGGGACGTCTCCGGCGGCCACCGGCGCTCCGAGGTGAGCCGCACCGAGCACTCGCGCACTGAGACCTCGGGCGCCGCGCCGCTGCCGGCCGTCACCGGCGGCCAGACGAGCAGCACGCGCCACTACAGCTACCGCAGCCGCAGCTCCTCCGGCGAGCAGCTGCCCGAGCCGGCGGACCCGCGCCGGCCGCTCTACCCTGCCGACGGCAGCGCCGGCCACAGCCGCCGCACCCACTCGTACGAGAGGACCAGCTCGGGGTACGGCGGCGCCGGCGCCGACCTGCTGTCCGGCGCCCACGGCTCCGGGTACACGGACAAGGAGGACTCTGCCGAGCAGAGCGGCTCGCGGGTCATCTCCAGCCGCCGACACTACTCAGAGCGGCGCGTCGTCTCCGGAGAGGACAGCGGCGAGCAGGCCACCACGGGCGGCTACCCGCGCTACCCGGACCGGCCGGTCGACCTGCCGGGCCCGCAGCTGGACTCCTCCAGCAGCTCGCGCCACTACTCCTACCGCAGCTCGTCCAGCTCGACCTCGTCCGGCGAGCAGGGCGACGCAGCGCTGCTGGCCGGCGGCGCCGGTCTGCGCGGCCAGCACGGCGCCCGGCCGGAGCTGACCAGCTCCTCCCGGCGCTACTCGGCCCAGCACTCCACCTCGGGCGGCGGCGGCGGCGGCGGCGGCGCGGGCCTGCTGGCCGGCGGAGACGCGGGCCTCTCCGGCGGCGAGTCGGTCACCTCGTCCCGCCACTACTCCGAGCGGCGCGTGGTGTCCGGGGACGCCGACGGCGAACTGGGCCTGTCCGGCGGCGACCTGGGCCTGTCCGGCGGCGACCTGGGCCTGGCGGGCGGCGACCTGGGTCTGTCCGGCGGCTCCTCGGGCGGCTACTCGAGCGGCTCGAGCTACCGGTCCTCGTCCTCCTGGTCCTCCCGCTCTGAGAGCGGCTCCTCGGGAGGACTGGTGCCGGCCGGCGGCGGCTCCCACCAGTACCCAGCCGGCTCCGCGGGCGGCAGCGGCTCCAGCTACCGCTACTCGTCCAGCTCTCACTCCTCGCAGGCGGTGAGTACGAGGCGCCCGAGTCACTGACTCAGCACTCTAAGAAGTATGGCTGGCATTTTGCCATCATGCTCCACAGATATGTTCTTTTGTGTGCTGCTCCCGTACTCCGTAGCAAATACCACTGAGTGATCATCGTTGCTCGTTGGTATGGCACATGAAGCCGCCACTTTGCCAGAGCTTCTTGTATATTCTGACGTCTTCCAGGCCGTCAATCCACCCCCTTACGGTTATCTGTCCGGTCAGGCGCCGCTGGAGTCGGGCTCTAGCTACTGGCGCAGCTACTCGCAGCAGTCGCAGCGTCACCGGCGCGGCTGGACCGACCTGTTCACCGGCCGAGACGAGACGCCGCGCGCCGCCGCCCAGGCCGGCGACAGCTGCGTCTGCGTGCGCTTCGACCGCTGCTCGGACGGCAACCTGCTGCACCACGGCGCCGACCTGCTCGACTTCAGGTGGGGAAAACCTGACCTGTCAGACTTCAGGTGGGTGAAACCTGACCTTCAACACTTCACTGGGTCTCCCTACATCAGCCCGAACAGCATTTACTAATCCGGGCATCCAGACATATAGACCTGCGAGTAGTAGCAGAGATAAGTTCGTAAGAGTAGTAGCAGCAAGTGTTCCTCTACCGTCATCGTTCAGAGTCAAAGTATATTTCGTGTCGTAACTATCCGTGATTATATATGTGTCTCTACTCTCCACTGATTCCTCCCCTCCCGTGTCCATCCTGCAGTATCGGCTCGTTCTGTGTTCTGGGTCCGCACTGACTGTGTTCCGGGTCTGTACTGACTCTGTGTTCCGGGTCTGTACTGACTGTGTCCCGGGTCTGTACTGACGCTGTGTCCGTCCGGCAGTATCGGCTCCCGGAAGCAGTGCTCCGGGTTCCGGGTGTGCTGTGACACGCCGCCGGAGGTGCTCCGTCAGCTGGAGTCCACTCCGGGCCTCCGGCCGGGCGTGGTCACCTCTGTGCCGACCGCCGAACTGGATCTGGCCGGCCGCTCCTCGCCGCTGGCGCCGCACGTCGCCAGCTCCCGGCCCTGCGTGTGCGTCTCCTCGTACCTGTGCCAGGGCGGCCAGATCGGCGCCTCGCAGCAGCTGCTCGTCGACATGCGCCAGGTGTCGCAGACGGGACGCTGCAGCTACGACGGACAGGTGAGGTGACTGGTGACGGGTGAGCTCAGAGGTGACGGGTGAGAGGTGACAGATGGGGTGACAGATGACAGGCGACTTGAGTTTCCGCGGTGAGAAGTGGTTTATAGTAAAGGTGACGTGATAGGTGACAAATGGTTTGAGGTGAAAGGTGAAGTGATATCCAAGCGAGACAATTTTTGTCATATAACTAATGGGCGCTCTGGTAGTTCACCGCCGGTGCTTATCGCAAATTACCGTATACATACGCTCCCTCGCTGTGACCGTTGGACATTTGACGGTCTCTCCTCTGCTGTGCTGTTTTAAGGTGTGTTGCGCGGTGCCATCACACTGTGCTGTCCATTTTCAGGTGTGCTGCGCGGTACCATCACACTGTGCCGTGCTGTTTTCAGGTGTGCTGCGCGGTGCCATCACACTGTGCTGTCCGTTTTCAGGTGTGCTGCGCGGTGCCGTGGGCCCAGGTGCAGCCGACGGCCCCGCCGGCGCCATGCAGCTGTGTGCCCGGAAACCAGTGCCGCCAGCAGGACATCCTCACCCGCTACACCAACGTCAACGCGCCCACCTGTCCCGGCACTCAGGTCAGTGTGGACAGGGCCAGAATCGGGTCCTGTGTGATATACCTGTACCCGCTGAGTACAGGGGAATGGGGTGTCGGTTATAAAGGGGTGTGGGTCAATAAAGAGGGAGGGACTGGTCCATGAAAGGAAGGTCAGTAAATAGGGCTGGGTCATTAAATGGGTCAATAAAAGGGAGCAGGTCAGTGAAAGGTGACAGGTCAATAAGGGGGTGGGCGGGTCAGTAAAAGGGGGACGGGTAAATAAAAGGGGACGAGTCAAGAGGGTCAGTCTTTAAAGAGGTCACCGATCCTCGGAACACTGACTCAGCCCGCTCCGTTCGGGCCGCCACTCTGACCCCCCCCCCCCCCCCCTCTGCAGGTGTGTTGCTCCCGTCCGCAGTCGGGCGGCCCGGCGGTCCGTCCGCCCGCCAGCAGCCTGGACCGTATCGAGTACGACATGTACCGGTTCTGCAAGTCGTACCCGCTGAGCGTCGCCTGCTCCAGCACTCACCAGGTGAGAAACGGGGTGACTCGAGGGGAGAGAAACTCACACTGTAACTCACTGAGTGAGGAACCCGCTGGTACGCAAACGGGGGTCGATGGCTCTCCAGAAAAAAAAAACAATTTTGTTGGTATATTCCATAGGAGATAGTAATGTATTGCTCCTTCCGAGAATGGTTCCTATTTCACTGCTGATAACCTAGCATTTTTTCCAATCCTTTTCAGTTCAACGTGCTGCCGGCTCTCCGTCCTACGCCGTACTTCGACGCTGAGCGAGACGCCAGAGCGCTGAAGTGAGTACGATCGTTTGTTTTTGTTCAGCTGAGAACAGCCGTTACATAATCTGGAAGATCCTATACGAGCAAATATCGTGTTCAATGTTGGGTCCGATTTATACGTAGGCTCCGTGTGACCTAGTCAGGGGCCGCTGAATAAGATTGTATGAAGTGGATGTTAGACGGCAGTGGAGGTTTGTACGTGTGCCGGTCCTGTCGGTACCAGGCCCCGCTCGACCGCCGCAGACGCCTGCCTCTCGTCACAGCCACCGTAAACACTGGCCGACGGAAAACTAGGAATGTTAGGACTGTTCTGATACGGGCACGGTCGGCCCCCGCTGGGAGCTGACCGAGGTGATATCACCGCCGACAATCAGCTGAGCAGAGTCGGGTCACTGCTGACTGTCAGCTGACTGCGATCTGACAGCGAGACAGTCGACTAATATGGTGACATTGCTAACAGTTGACCCGGACTGTGCCGTAGTAAGCTAACCCGTCATGTGTCGCTGTCATCTCGCCCCACCTCTGTTCCCAGCCTCTCAGTATAGCTGATCCCCCGTCTGACACTGAATATTATCTCCCACAGCGACGCGTTCGGCCTGTTCGGAGTCGACGACGACGTCCTGATCGGTATCCTCACCAAGAGGACATTCAAGGAGCGCGCCCTCATCAAGCAGGCCTTCGCGCGGCTCACGGGCTCGGTGAGTAATATATGGGACATGGGTGATATTGTGAGAACGCCCGTGCTGCTGCCATCACTGACAGCAGTACTGGAGTTTCTCACTCTCAACTCTCAGTATCCATTTGGTAGACGTTGAGGGACGCGATTTTAGGTCACCACTGTCAAACACTGGGCTGCTAAAAAGATGGTGAGGTTACCCGGTCCTGCTCCATTTGCTACTGGCGGCTGGGTGACCTAGTTCTGGTTATCAGCTACTGGAGGAGACTGATGGTTCGTCTCTGCTAAACTGCTGGTTCGTGGTATACACCCGGCTGCTCCAGGCTACTGCCGACTCTCGGTGCAGCCCTGGTTCTATTAAACTCGGTGCCTGGCCCGGGTGTCCGACATTTGTCCGGCCCTGAGCTGCTTCACTAAGGCCTGTCCGACATTTGTCCGGCCCTGAGCTGCTTCACTAAGGCCCCGATGTCGTCCAGCGCTGGCCTCGTCCCGTGGCCGTGTTTTCGTCCAGTGCCGCCGGTGGCCGGCTGTTCCAGATCCGCTGGCCCCGGTCCGGCGGCGGCCCCTGGCTGCGGCCGGCCGAGGTCGGCCGTGTGTTTACAGTGGGGAGACGGGTCCCAGGCGCCGGCGTCGGGCCGCGCGGTCACACGGTTCGTCGGAAGGGCATCTCAGGCTCAAAGAAACGATATATACCATTCGAAAGCTGACGGTGAGCTGAATCCAAAAATGTAATTTTTATCAAAATCGATCGATGGCCTTTTTTGAAAATTGCGTTTTTGTAAAAACTTTATAATTTTTTATTCAACGGGCTGTCCCGGACATTCTTGAAAACATAAACATGTATTTTTTAGTTCCAGTAAAAGCTGAACGCCTAAAGAACAATATTTAGCGAAGCAATATTTCCAAACATTAATATGCGTCTCCCACAGCCGACAATAAGGCGCAATTACACAGCTCAGTGTCACGATGGACCAAAGTCAGCCACACAGAAGCGTGAAATGACCCTTATCGACTCGCAGACCCGGCGCTCTCGGCCCGCCTGACCGGCCACGGCAAGGAGGTTCGGCTGTCGTTCTACTAAACAGACGTCATATTTGTTAGTTTAACGATTCAAGTCGGTACTTGAGTTATTCAGGATACATGAGCAGAAGATTCATTGCTCTGTCATCTTCACACCACGCATTAATTTGCATTTGTTCACGTCTACTTTGCTCAATTGAGCTTGGTGGCATGCCCATATAAGGAAAATTGGCCGCGCTGAAATGTCAGAGGTTGTACCGACCTCAGCTCGGGTAGAGTGGGGGTAGCGCCCGGTGGGGCAGGGTAACCTTTGACCGGTCGCACGGCCGAGCAGCTGTCACCAGTACAGCCTCTGACGGTGAAACCCCGCTCACTTCCCCTGCGCGGGCACTGAGCGCAGCTGGATGGAACAAAACATGTATAAGAAAAATGTAAATTAAAGCATGTTGTAAATCAAGCAGAACAATGCATTTTCTTCACAGGTATCCTGAATAACTTTAATAGCAATGTAGACAGTTAAACTGACAAATATGACATTTGTTTAGTAGAACGAGAGGCGAACGTTCTTTCCGTGGCTGGTGGGCGGGCCGGGAGCGCCGGTCTGCGAGTCGATAAGGGTCATTTCACGGTTCTGTGTGGCTGACTTGGTCCATCGTGACATTGAGATGTGTAATTGCGCCTTATTGTCGGCTGTGGGAGACGCATATTAATGGTTGGAAATATTGCTTCGCTAAATATTGTTCTTTAGGCGTTCAGCTTTTACTGGAACTCAAAAATACATGTTTATGTTTTCAAGAATGTCCGGGACAGCCCGTTGAATAAAAAATTATAAAGTTTTTACAAAAACGCAATTTTCAAAAAAGGCCATCGATCGATTTTGATAAAAATTACATTTTTGGATTCAGCTCACCGTCAGCTTTCGAATGGTATATATCGTTTCTTTTGAGCCTGAGATGACCTTCCGACGAACCGTGGTCACAGAGCCGCCAGTGGCCGGGGCGGGGGACGGAGCAGCGTAGACCGTCTCAGCTGCGGCACATATAGCTCAGTCCGCCGGCATACAGAGACTGCCCATGTCAACGGGGTAATGGTGCAGAATATGCTGTAGGATATGGGGATTAATAATATGCTTATGAAAGGGTGCATAATTTCGCTAAACTAGGGAGACGAAATTAAATCGCAAGAACGAACGGTCGATGATAGCATAGCCTCGCAGCTGGTGCGCCCTGTCACTCCAAATCATCATCATTGACTCCGAACAAAAGCGATGATATGGACTGAT